GCAACTATAGCTACATTTGTAGCAGAATCAATACCAAATAGAATAATTGGTGATTTCATTACCGCCTCACATACAGCTTTACTGCTGGAGTTATAGTGGAATGAAAACTCTAGGAAGCCCAGGTAAATTCAGGATTTTTGAGGCTTGAAGTATTATAGGTTTATAGTTTAAGGACTTCATAATAGTGTTGGCAAAAGGGACTGAATTTTGTTAAACTTGTTTTGGCTGGTAAGGAAGATTTTTTCAATTCTGTTTGATAAACAACTTTGTGAAATCAATGAAACTTAATGGTTTAAGCATTGTCTTGTATACATTGCCTGATGGTAAAATCGATTGACAAATGGAAGTTGTGAGGTTTCCTTCAGTGAAGGCTTCATGAAGAGAAACACAAATGATTTTTATGCAGCCATCCAAACTAGTTCTCTTAAAATCAAGTCTGCCTTTCAAGATGAAAGTTATGAAGAGCATACTCGTCATTATAAATAGCAGTTTGAATCAAAAATAAATATATAGAAAAGCCTCCCTGAGACAAAAATTTTCCTAAATTGAACTGTGAACATCTCCAGGATGTTTGGAGAATATTCTAATTAATCAGATTTTCTGTTTATTGGAGGATTTTTTGTTGTTGAAAAATATTTCTAACCATACTCATTACGATTTTATGTTTTCATATGGTATATACAAAACACAGCTGATCACCTATTAAATAATGGAAACTTTTCTGAATTGAGAGTTATTTTCTGAATACCAGTTATTGTTTTTATAGCAAGTATATGTATATTATTAAATGATAATTTATTACAAATCACTGTGCTTAAGCTCAGCAAATACAAAAAAAAATTAATAAATTGCACCACTCTTCAAAGAGTTTATAGCCTTTGTGGGTTTCTTATGTAAAGAGATGATTATAATAGTAGTTAATAACTAATAAAAATTTCATAATATATAACTTTTTTCGTATACACAGGATGAGAAACATGGAAAAATACTTAGTTATTACAGTTATATGAATAAATGTTTCTTCCAAAATCTGCTTAAGTTTCTACAGAAAAGGTCAGAATATCTAAATATTTTAGAAAACTTTTCATTTGGATGTTTGCATATTGATTTTTATACATTGATATTAAAGTACAGGTTTTATTTCCAATTGAAAGAAACTTGTACAACATAAGTTGTATATAAATTGCAATGTGGCATTGTATATATTTTAGAAATAGTGCAGCAAGTTTATTAATCGATGTATAATTTCCCCATCAGTACTTGTATTAAAATATAGGCTTGTTCTCATTGGAATTTAAAATAATTGAAATCTATATTTCATAAACCCATATCATAGTACCTTTTCTCAACAGACATTTTACAAGTTCATAAAGATTTTGTTGTAAATTTGCTAGGAGCAATAAAATAAAGATTATGGATTAAGGGTGTTTCCTAGAGAGTCTCTACAGTATATTGGGGAAAAAGAAAAAGGCTGGACTTTGATACTGGCTGATAAGGATCATGTACATGAATCAATCACTTCTTGTTTTCCTGCTTATGTTGAATAATATTGTACTTATCAACAGAAATTCATTTTTTCTTAGTGCTTATTAGTCTTAATAAGTGAATCTCCCACAGAATCAGTAAAATGTTCAAATGATCAAGAATTATTTTTTAGTTTCTTCAGAAACAGACTCTTAACTGTAGAGAACAAACTGATGATTACCAGAGGAGAGGTGGGTGGGGGGATGGGTGAAATAGGTGATGGGGATTAGGGCCCTTGTAGGGGAACCTCGGTGGTTAAGTGTCTGACTCTTGATTTCGGCTCAGGTCATGATCTCAGGGTTGTGAGACTGAGCCCCGCATTGGGCTCCATGCTGGGCGAGGAGCCTGCTTAAGATTCTTTCTTTCCCTTCCTCTCTCCTCTCTCCCTCTCCCTCTACCCCTCCCCCAACATTTGCACAGGGGCTCTCTCTCTCTCTCTCTCTCTCTCTCTCTCTAAAAAAAAAGAAAAAAAAAACAGGAGGGCATCTCTTGTGATGAGCACTGGGTGTTGTATGTAAGTGTTGAATCACTAAATTCTACATCTGAAACTGATGTTACACTGTATGTTAACTAACTGGAATGTAAATAAAAACTAAAAAAGAAATGATTTTGTACTTTCATTCTGAATTGAAGTTAGTCAAACAATCAGACAAAATAGTAAAAATTACTTAAGGTCAAAAGCATATAACAATTAGAATTTAATCCTTCCTCTGTATAATATTTTAGTAGCTATAATCAAAATTCACCATTATCTTTATGTTAATGATAATAAAGCAATGTAAAACCTTAATTGTTTGAAAACCCTGGTTCATTTTAGCTCATTTTTCAGCAAATATCTAGGGTGTGTCCCTAGGTCTTATGGTCTAAGATGGTGGTTCAAGGTTTAGCCATCCCATCCCCATTCCAGGCAGCATATTGGAGGAAGATGTGAAGAAAAGAGGCAAAGTCGGCTCCAGCCATGTTTTAAATGAAGTTCTGGCAAAGTGTCATACAACATTACCTCCAAGGGAAGCAATAAAATGAAATCTTTATTTGGGGTGGCCACATGCCCAGCTGAAGGTTGTGTGGTTTATTACTCTGGAGGAGGAAGAGAATGGATATTGAGGATTCCAGAAGTCTTTGCCTCTGTCCCTAGCACTGTACAAAAACTGCATTCTCAAAGGCAACAAATGAAATCCAGCATGGTGTGTGCGAGACTTGGCACTCACAAAGGGAGAAGGTGGGGGAGTAGCTTGGAGGTGATAAGCTGACAGGACCCTAGAGAGAGGAAATGATTTTTAACATTCTTTATATGTTAGATTTCAGAAACAGTCTAAAGATTATGTATTGGTTTTCTAGAGCTGCTGTAACAAAGTACCGCAAACCATAAAGCAACAGTAATTTATTCTTTCACAGTTCTGGAGGCTAAAATTCAATATCAAGGTGTCAGCAGGGCCTCTTCCTGCTGGTAGAATCTTCCCTTGCCTCTTCCTAGCTTCTAGGGAGGGCCATCAATTCTTGTCATTCCTTGGAGTGCAGCTGTATCTTTTCCTCTATAATTACATGTTTTGTTTTGTTTCTTGCACCCACCCCCACCCCTGCCGCTGTGTGTCTTTGTGTCCACATGGTATTTTCCTCTTCTTAGAAGGACACTATCATGGAGTGCCTGGGTGGCTCAGTTGTTAAGTGTCTGTCTTCGGCTCAGGTCATGATCCCAGGGTCCTGGGATTGAGCCCCACGTCAGGCTCCCTGCTCAGCAGGAAGCCTGCTTCTCCCTCTCCCGCTCCCCCTGCTTGTATTCCCTCTCTCGCTGTCTCTCTATCAAATAAATAAAATAAAATATTGAAAAAAAGAAGGACACTATCATATTGGATTTAGGACTTACCCTAAGGTCTTCATCTTAACTTGATTACGTCTACAAAGACCCTGTTTCCAAACAAGGTCATAGTCACAGATACCAGGGGTTTAGCTTTCAGTACATCTTTAAGAAAGTCAGAATTCCACTTTTAAAAGAATATTTCTAGATAATATACTGTTTGATGAACTTTAGACATCCAGGCAAGAAAAGATTATGGTTTTTTTGTTTGTTTGTTTTAGCACTGAGCTTACCTATGGTCAAAGGCCTACATTATTCTTCAAGACTTTTAGATTTAGATTTTTGTTATTTTTGATGTGTCAGTAGGCAAAAACAGTTGTTCAGATGGTCTTAAGTATTGGAATGTATCCATCTAGATATTTTTTTTTCCTTTGTGTATGGAAACCCATTTGCTTGAAACCCATTCCCTTGAATACCACCAAAGCATTATGACTTGTCATTTCTGTGTGCCCAGCATATAACTGTTTATATGACTTTATTACACAGCTCTGTTCTCTTCAAAGTTTACACTTTATAACTTGCCATAATTTGGATATATTATGTAACTTACTCAAAGAAGATTATTTCACATCCATTTCAACTTTCCATACAATTATTACAAGATTCATAATATAGGTTTTTTTTAGTCTATTGAAGATGAGTTGGTGTATTAAATGATAAAGATCTTGTATAGGCAGATATAGAAACCATGAGAAGTAATAACTAAAACTCTGACTTCTGGAAGACAAGGAAAATATCGACATAGACAGAAAGTGAAGAACACACATGTGTGTACACTTGGTGCTCACCTGTGAACAGACTCAAGATCCACGCTGTCAAAGAAGGCAGACTGAGATCCTTTATATCAGTCCATTATACCTTAGAATACTAATGAATTATACAGAGCGATGACCCAAGTGATATCAATCAAAGCTCATATTTTGTAACATATTCTGTTTCTAGCATGTTTAAAATGTATAGACTACAAATGTGATTGTTTTAATTTTCACTCTTTGCTCTGTTTCTTTGGAACCCCTGCTTTCTTAGTCTCTGTGCTTCGTGCATGCAATTTAGGAATATAAAACTGATATCATTTATATGTCTTATCTAAAAAAGCCGAACTCATAGAAACAGAGAGTAGAGTGTGGCTACCAGGGCCTTAGGGGTGAGGAAAATGGGGAGATACCGATCAAGGGTACAGACTTCCAGTTATGAGATGAGTAAGTTCTAAGGATCTAACATATAGCATGGTGACTATAATCAACAATACTATACTATATACTTTTAAGTTGCCAACATAGTAGATCTTAAATGTCATAATAGAAAAGAAATGGCGATTATGGGACAAGATGAAGGTGTTAGCTAATGCTATGGTGGTAATCATTTTACAGTATGTAAGTGTATCAAATATATCGTATATCTTAAGGTTATACACTGTTATGTATCAATTATAATATAGCTGGGGAAAAATAAAAGTGAAGATATTATATCTATGTGGTTTATGGGTGTTAATGACATTCAAAATATTTTAATTCGTGGAAACAAAGGAGAGTGTGTGGGATAAAGAGTTGAGGGAGACATTGTCATTGTGCATGTCATGGAGAGGTTATATAACTTCCCCTGTATCTTCTTGTCTTGGCAGTGTGTGCAGGAACAGAGAACAAGCTGAGCTCTCTCTCTGACCTGGAGCAGCAGTATCGAGCCTTGCGCAAATACTATGAGAACTGTGAGGTAGTCATGGGCAACCTGGAGATAACCAGCATCGAGCACAACCGGGACCTCTCCTTTCTGCGGGTAAAGCTGTCTTTTTCTTTCTCTTCTCTTCTCTGTGAGTGGACAGTGATGTCACAGTGCATAAAGACAGACCAGCTTGCTTGTACCTGATGGTGATGCTCTTCTGCCCGGCAGGGACCATGACTGTAGGCAGAAGATAAGAGTTATCAAGGCATGCCTAGGAAAAGAACAAGAGTAACCATGCCATCATGACTGACACCTTGAGTTCAGAACAGTTACTGTTACTCTAAGATTGATAAAAGATCCTGTCAGCCTGTGGTACAGGATATCTAGCAAGTCTGTTTTTTTTTTTTTTTTTTTTCCCGAATTGCAGGCAAGAGGAAAACTGTTAGGCTGGGGACTAGGCGAGTCAGAGGACCAATCAGATAAGAATAGGTAACTTCAGTAATCTCACTTTCTGTCCCTTTACTGTCACTTTGGAAATTTCAGACTACTCCATATTACAATAATAAGACTAATACTGTTATCTTTAGAAGAAAAATGACATCTGCTTTTGAAAACCCACAAATTACTTAAATTAGATACAGGGAATTATCAGTACTTATGTAGGTTGATATATGCATGCACATAAATGCGTATGTGTATATATAAAGTTACTCAGAGACAACCAGTCCTTTTGCAAACTTGTTTGGGCTCTCATTTACATCCTTAGTCTGTTAAACAGACTATCAGTGCTCTGTGGCTTCAGTTTCTTATGTTTCACTTTAACCAGAATAGGTAATAGGAAAACCTGAATTTCAAAGAGATATGGTCTTCTACATACCTGTGAATTTATTCTTTATATAAGAACTATTATGTATTTTAAATAACAGCGTCTGTATAATAGATTTGATTTTTTTCAGTAGTATTTACACATTTCTTAGGAGTACTGTCTTGTGTAAATCAAGACAAAAGTGTCTCAAATACTGATACAGTAAACTATTTGGGATATAGTGAATTATTTAAAGAACTATGATAATTTAAATAATTCTGCACTTAGATAAGTAGTAAAAAAAAGGCAATGATTTTTAAATACTTTGAATTTACATAACAAATATATCTAGAAGGGTAACAATCTCAGAAAATAAACCACCTCAAAATTTAAGTAACACTATGAAGCTTATGATACCTGTTAATAAAATGACTATCATACTGGGATCAGTATAGGGGCTGAAAGTATTTCCATATTCTGCTGCTTGATTAGCAGAGCGCTGGTTCTATGAGTTATATGTCAAAACTTTTTAATAATTATGAAATTTAGTTATGACATTTTTGTTTATCAAAAGTAAATAGTAAAAATTATCTAAGTTCCAGAATGTGAAAGCCTTAGAAGAGCTTAACACTTTTTTTTTTTCTTTTTTGGACTATTGTTTCAAGAAGAGAATACTTGTAAGCTGTCCTAGAATAGCCACTTCAAAGGAATGCATCATTAGTTATTAAAATTTGTTTACAAGCTTCTAACCTGTGTTCATTACTTTCAGATAGATTTTATTCTTCAACATCAAAATAAGATTTTGATGGCATATGAGCTGATTTGCTTAGAAATGCCAAGAACTTCAATGATGTTACAGAAAAGGAAAATTGAGAGCTGAATTCTGAATCAGGGAAAAGAAATAGGTTAAATAGTTTATTCAATCAGAATAATATGAGAAAATTTTAAAAGGCAGTCTAAGATCTTTGTTTTTCTTCTTGTGTTTACTTGGCTTTGCTGTACACGGAACAAGATTCCACGGGCTTAACAAAATATAGTCATGGGTATTGTAAATGGTAGTCTTTAAAATAAGCAACATAAAATGTTATGATTATTATATATTTTATAATTTTAAAATTCTTAAGCTCTTATAAGGTAAAGAAGAGAGTGATCAAAAAATAGATCCAAGTCAATTTTTAATATGTAGAAATAGGAAAGTAACCTACAGATCTTTGATCAACATGGTCTATATTGTTGGATATTCTACCTTTTAAAGAACCATTTTGAGTAAAAAGTAAGACAATAGAATAAACAGATTTGGGAAAGAATAAAATAAGTATGACCAAGGTTTCTACATGAAACAAGAATTAGTTGTTTCTTTAAATAAATAATTGTTGATACCTAAGTAGCATCTCTAAAAGTTCATGTAAACTTTATACTACCCCATGATCATATCTTTATTGTCATCTACTGATTTAAAGATAGCTCTAATAGTTTTATTTTCCCTAATAATAACACCTTTTTGTTGTTTCACTTATCTGTTGTTCCTTTGGAAAATAGCCATTTCTAGTCATGACATATATGTATTCACTCAACAGATGGTCTTAGCCCAAGAATACAATAGCAAGTAATATATTGTCCTTGACTTCAACAATCTCACAGTCTTGTAGAGGGTTACAGATGAGTTATACATAAATATCATGTATATATGTGTGTGTCTATGTATATATATAATGTATACAATATGTGTATATGCATATATAAAAAAATATAGTTGCTAAGACAGAAATGAGAAGCCAGAATCTAAATGAACGTATGGTCTTGTCTTAATGGTAGGTGTGAGTGCTGGGCAAAAAAAGGAATGGCTAATTCTGAAAGACTCAGGAAAGATTTCATCAAAGAGGTGCTTGAGTTAAATCATGAAAAGATGAGTAGGTGCTTACAAGGTAGGTAGATGGAAGAGAAGGGCATTCCAATGGGTGTAATATAAGTGCAGGCTTAGAAAGAAGGCCCAAAGTCAGAGTTAATAAATGTGTACTTAATGTTTACTGCTTTAGATACTAGACATATGCATGCAAATAAATCACACATCATTCTCACCTTCATGGAACCTATAGTCTAGTGTGGATGAAGATAAATTTGGGGATGAAATAAAATATTAAATTGGAGAGGTAGAGAGCCTTATACCATAGATAGATATTCAGGGGACATCAGAATACAAATACGTTAACCATTGGGGTTTAGATAAAATCATCAAGGGGGATTGAAGATACTTAGACCAGAAAATGGGCCAAGGACGGACCTCTCCAGATGCTCCATTCTCTGTTTTTTGGTCAGGTCAGTGTTCTAACTACTTTTCTGAATGAGCCCTAAAAGGAGGCACAACTGGCTGAAATCTTCATTATGCTACTGTATTCCAACTGTACCTTAGAATATGCTAAAAGCTCTCCATTTTACAGGTTTTCTCCACTATTCAAAACTTGCTTTATGTCACTTCACTCTTATGTAAGACCTACATGACTACCTGTTTTCACTAACCAGAAGAAATCTGAAGAGGATTTTCACTTTTACGAAATGATAATTGCTTCTTTGCTTCGTACCATTTCAGAGTAGGGAGGGTTGAATGCAAACATTCCACTTTCAGATAGCAGGGAAAAACTGTAATATAAAAATTTCACTCCAGATAACTACATTATGGTTCATTTGTGTTCTTAGTGGGTTCCCTCCAAAGTACGTAATCTGTCCAATATTGGCTCATTATAATAAGTAGAGTGCATGTAAAGGAAAACTGGTTATTTTACATTATGCTAATATTTCCAATAAGTTTTTAATTGTATGAGTGAGTAGTAATCTTGCATTAACCTATTCTATGTATTACATAGCCTTCATATATATTTATATAACTGTAATTCACTGAGCAACTGCTTACAGAGGTGTGCAATTTCCCTTCCTCTCAGAATGACTCAAACCTATAATGTGTTTAGAGAGACATCATAGATAGGGACCTTAAATTTATTTCTGGAATTAATTTCTGTCTTTAAGAACATAGGAAATTACTTTTGTTTTTAAAAGATTTTCCATCCTTATTTTCTTCTCTAAGTAGCAAGTTCATTGAATTTTGTTTTATTATTTGTTTTGTATGAAACCACTCTAATTTCTGTAATTCCTGAGAGCAGCTTACCTCAGTACCCTGTTTACCTCTTTCACTATCTGAATAGTCATGTCTAGAACAGCACCTAAAATATCATAAGCTTTCATTAAGTATTTGCCTAATGGACAAATAAATGAATATTTTTCATAAAACTTAATACTTTATAGATCACCATTTCGTGTATTTTATGTTCTCTAGATGAATATGTCTACCTCTCCTCACGTTATTTCAGTATGACATCACCACAGATCAGGTGTGCGGGCGTAAGACACGCACTGGGTCCATCAGAATCCTTTCCTATGAGTTTCCGTATCAGTTAATTTCTTAACCATTTGGGTACGAGAACATAGTCATGTTTTTTTCTTGTCATTTGGGTGTCAGAGAGGGCTGTGCCGATGGCAGAATGGAGCCAACACACTGAAACAGACAGAGAGCAGAGAAAGAGAGAATGACCATTCACCCCAAATTACTGGTGAGGGAATTTCCGGTTCCGGTCTTCTTCTGATGACTGCTTGTATTACGGCCAGTATTCCATAGGATACTCCTGGAACTTGAGACTAACTGTGAAGTGATTTTCACTTTTTTCCTTAAACTAGATACGTTTGTTTTCTTTTATTAAAAACAAAATATCCCATCTAGTACTTCTCTCAAGATCTCAAGAACACAGAAAAAGTACCCTTTTGAAATGGAAGATGTACTTCTATATTATAAATCTAAAAAACCAAAACAAACAACCACCCTATAATGTTTTGGAGATACTTCCTTAATCTTTGTTAGATATATTTTATTGAAATGCTTTGAAATACATTATTTTCAAGATGCTTTTCTTATATCAACCTTGGTCCTTATCTCTATAAGCACCTTTCACCCAGCTTTGTTGTAACCTCCAAGTTTTTGCATTTCTTCTTGGGAAAAAAAAATCTAGTTGACAATATTTAACATTAGACCCCTGAGACATCACATAGTTGGCTAGAAAAAGGCCCTAAAACTTATTTACTATGTACTTTATCACAGTCACAAGGTTAAGACATAATAGAAAACAGCAAGGCATAAAAATCACAGATTTTGTGTTATTGTCTTAGACTTTGTGAACTCTCTGAAACAAGGTGAAATATAGCAAATAATGGGAATGAACTTTTAGACCTTTTACCCTCATTAGAATTCTTGAGAGCTTTCTCT